CTACACATTCAATGCAATCCCCATCAAAATACCATCCACTTTTTTCAAAGAAATGGAACAAATAATCCTAAAATTTGTATGGAACCGGAAAAGACCCCGAATAGCCAGAGGAATGTTGAAAAAGCAAAGCAAAGCTGGCGGCATCACAATTCCAGACTTCAAAATAGCAGGTCTTTTGATGAGAAAAACAATGTGCGTTACTTTAGTAAGAATCTAGTGCTTTGTCCAACTGAAAAAAATGTCAGTGTTTTAAAAATTGTCAGATTATCACAGTAGTCATACGTAATATTTCACCTTCTGGCAGCACATCAAATTTTTTACAATAAAATAAAAATACCTAATAAAAATGTGCACTGATGATAGAAACATCAATATAGATAATACTATATTTGAAAGTCCACTTAAAAGACTCTCGGGGGCGGGGGGGGGCACCTGGGTCGCTCAGTCATTAAGCATCTGCCTTTGGCTCAGGTCATGATCCCAGGGTCCTGGGATCGAGCCCTGCGTCAGGCTCCCTGCTCAGCGGGAAGCCTGCTTCTCCCTCTCACACCCCCTGCCCCCCGCCGCTTATGTTTCCTCTCTCACTGTCTCTCTGTCAAACAAATAAATAAAATCTTTAAAAAAAAAAAAAAAAGACCCTCAATAAAGTGTAGATAGGTTATTTCCAGCTAAATCTAATGTTATAAGTTGATGAACTAACTCAAGCTTACATGAAATCAGTGTAGGATGTATTTTTAAACAAACTTAAATTTATTTGGAATACATAATAATTAAGAAAAGCAAATCTGAACTCTTAAAATCTAGTTTCCCAGAATGGGTCTACATATATTTGGAAATTGCACTAAATCATCATGATTCATACATATTTTTAATTTGAGAAATAATTGGTAAAGACCTATTTTTAATTTCAAAAATGAGAGGACACTGCTTATACAAATAAAAGAATGTTGTAATCATTAACATTAAGCCACTCTTGTAGAGTTTTGGAAGGGAGTAACAAATTCAGAAATAATGTATCCCATAAGCTGCGCCTCCTTACTTTCCAAATACGTGGGTGACAAAGGTAACATGAAAAGCCCATGTTCAGAGGACTACGATGATACCAGAGCTGGACAAACAATAAGTATCATCTACATTGTTGTAAGGCTCCTACAAATGAAGACTGGAAGCCTTTACCAACTTCCTCTGACTCTCACAGCAGAATGTTCAGTTCCAGATTCCATTATCCCTGCACTGTGGCTCAAATAAAGTTAAATACAATTTTTTTCATGGTTAAAGTCATGGTTTGACATTACAGCAAAAAAATAAAAATAATGCCTTGAAAACAAGTTTCATTTTCAGAGCAACAGGTCTGCATTTGCTCAGTTTGCTAAATTCAATGCAGCCTGGAAGAGATGAGTCACTCCTTTATCTACCCAAACAAAATAGTAAATTGAGAACTGTGCACTTGTTTGTGTGGAAAATTCTAAAATGAAATCAGGCAACTATAGTGGTAGTGGTTTACCCTTTTGCCCTTATCTAAAAGTTCTACCATGAAGCTAGAAATCAACTTTACTAACCAGCAGTATTCACGTGATTTCTCCATCAGCAGAGATGTACCAATGTTTTTTTTCCCAACAAACATTTCGGAGAGTGGGTACTCTTCCTACATGTTAAGCACATAGCTTAAAGAATGGTTACTAAGACCTGGCTTTGATACCAAAAAAAAATAATAATATAAATTGGGGAGATATACTACCTGCTAGATTACAATAGCAGATAATGCTAGATGCTAAAATAATGGACAGTTACCTGAAGGGGCCTGTATTCTATAGTGTGGCTGGGGAGGGTCTCTCTTGGGAGATGACATATGAGCTGAGATCTAAATGAGAGGGAGCTAGCAATAATAATTATTATTACTACTGAAGTTTACTGAGCACTTGAGTTGTGCAAAGGATTGAGCAAATGCTTTATAAGAATGACCTCACTCAGTCCCACTATTACTATCTTAATTTTAGTGATGTGTAACCAACTCTTGGAACTTGCCCAAGATCACATACCTAATATGTGAGGGAATGGAATTTAGACCCAGATTGTCTGGCTCCAGAGCCCATGTTTTCAACTCTTTGCTAAGCGGCCAGATTCTCAGATGACCCTAACTCCATGCCTCTCTGTCACCTACTCCCACAGTCCTATCTTAGTGGTTTTTTTTCCAGAACTGCCACCAAGCAAGAGGTATGTCCCAGTACTCCCTTCTCCCCACTAATCCCTCCTCCCACTCCTTCTCCCCACTCCTCAAGCCTTTGGCTTTATCTACCCATCTGCCCAGTTTCCTCACTCTTTTTCTTCTGATACATCTGCTCTTCATTGTCAGGAAGATGACCACGCCTTGACATTTCTTTTGCTGGCTTTAAGTCCAAGTTCTTTGACCTAACTTCCTTAATTTTCACTTTAACCATTCTCTTGTTCACATTTCAAACTCCTTTTAAAGCTGAACTTAAATGGCAAAACCACCAGCTCTGAGGGAATTAACAAATTTCCTTTTTCCTGTATCAGGTTACTGAGTCCTCTAAGGAAAACCACACAGGAGTACCAGTTGATGTGATGGCACATGGAGAGGCAACCTCTCAGTGCCCAGAAGTTCTACTGCATGCCTCTTCCCAGCCCAAACAATGGCCCTTCTAAAACGTCCTGCCTCAGACCCACCATCTGTTCACTCACTTCTGGTATGTAACATAGCTCCTTCTTTTTTTTTTTTTTTTTAAGATTTTATTTATTTATTTGACAGAGAGAGACACAGCGAGAGAGGGAACATAAGCAGGGGGAGTGGGAGAGAGAGAGAAGCAGGTTTCCCACGGAGCAGGGAGCCCGATGCGGGGCTTGATCCCAGGACCCTGGGATCATGACCTGAGCCAAAGGCAGACGCTTAACGACTGAGCCACCCAGGCGCCCCGTAACATAGTTCCTTCTTAAGAAATAAAATTGAAGCTATTACGCAGGACATCCCCAAAATTTCCTTAATGTACCATTCTGAAACTTACCAATGGCTAGTCCATCCTCCTCTCTAGGCTTTGAGGAAAAGGAATCGATCCTTCTTAGACAAATTAGCCTATCTTTGTAATTTCCTTCCACATCCATCAAGGGCTTCACTACACCAATTATGTACTCTCTTCCTTGTACTGAACCTCTCTTTTCCTACTGGATCATTCTTCTCTACTATTCCCATCTTTAAAAAAATATCACAGTAATTTTTTCTTAATGAAACAAATTGAAGAGGATACACACAAAGATATTCCATGTTCATGAATTGGGAGGAATCAATATTGTTAAAATGTTCATATTACCCAAAGCAATCCACAGTTTCCATGCAATCCCTATCGAAATACCAAAAGCATTTTTCACAGAACTAGAACAAATAATCTTAAAATTTGTATGGAACCACAAAAGATCCCAAATAGTCAAAGCAATCTGAAAAAGAAGAACAAAGCTAGAGGTATCATAGTCTCAGATTTCAAAATATACTACAAAGCTTAGTAATCATAACAGTATGACACTGGCACAGAAATAGGCACAAAGACCAAAAGAACAGAATAGAGAGTCCAACAATAAGCCCACGCTTTTATGGTCAATTAATCAATGAAAGAGGAGGCAGGAATACACAACGGGAAAAGAGTCTCTTTAATGATTGTTGGAAAAACAGCACAGCTACATACAAAAGAATGAAACTGGACCACTTTTTTACACCATAGGCAAAAATAAACTCAAAATGGATTAAAGACCTAAGTATGAGATCTGAAACCATAAAATTCCTAAAGGAAAATATAGGCAGTAATTTCTTTGACATCGGTCATAGAAACAATTTTTCCAAATATGTCTCCTTTGGCAAGGAAAACAAAAAGCAAAATTAAACTATTGGGCCTACACCAAAATAAAAAGCTTTTGTACACTGAAGGAAACCATCAACAAAACAAAAAGGCAACCTACGGAGTGGTAGAATGTATTTGCAAATGAAATATCCAAAAAGGAGTTAATATCCAAAATATATGAAGAATTTACACAACACCAAAAAACAATAATCCAATTAAAAAATGGACAGAAAACCTGAACAGACCTTTTTCCAAAGAAGATATACAGATGGCCAACAGACACACGAAGAAATGCTCAACATCATTAATCAGCAGGGAAATGCAAATTAAAACCACAATGAGATATCACTTTATACTGTCAGAATGGCTAAAATACAAAACACAAGAAATTACAAGGTATTGGTGAGGATGTGGGAAAAAAGGAACCTTCATGCACTGTTGGAGGGAATGCAAACTGGTGCAGCCACTGTGGGAAACAGTATGGAGGTTCCTCAAAAAATTACAACCAGAATTATCATATGATCCAGTAATTCCTTGACTGGCATTTACCCAAAGAAAATGAAAACACTAATTCAAAGGGATACATGCAACTCTATGTTTACTGCAGTATTATTTACAATAGCCAAGATACAGAAGCAACCCAAATGTCCATTCACAGATTAATAAAGATGTGATACACACACACATACACACATACATGCAATGGAATATTATTCAGCCATAAAAAAGAATGAAATCTTCCCATGTGCAACAACATGGATGGACCTAGAGGGTATAATGCTAAGTGAAATAAGTCAGTCATAGAAACACAAATGCTATATGATTTCACTCATATATGGAATTTACGAAACAGAACAAATGAACAAAGAAAGAAAGAGACAAAAATACCAGACTCTTAAACACAGAGAATGAACTAGCTGTTGTCAGAGAAGAAGGGGGTGGAGGGATGAGGAGGGAAACAGATAAAGGGGATTAATAGTACATTTATCTTGATGAGCGCTGATAAATGTGTGAAATTGTTGAATCGTGTTCTACACCTGAAACTACTGTAGCACAGTGTGTTAATTATACTTGAAAAATCACAGAAATCATTTTTTTAATGAAACAAACAAAAACCTTTATCAATCCAACATGATCTAACCAGCAACCTATACTCTGCTTCTTATTAAGCCAAACTCCTGGAAAGAGCAGTCTACACCTGGTACCCCACAATTTTATTCCTAATTCATTTCCCCATTCATTGGATTTGGTTTCCACTCCATCATACAATTAAAATAGCTCTCATCAAGATACTCAAAGATCACCGACAGCCAAATACAATGGACTCTTTAAAAATCTACCCTAGTTTCCTTGTAGCATGTGACACTGTCAATGGCCGCTTCTGATTTTTAAGTCTCTCTTCTTCCCTGACTTTCATAATACCTCTCTCTTCACTAGTTCTCTTTTTTCTTCCTGTTCTTTAATAATCTCCTTTCCTGGGTTTCTTCCACCATTTACCTTTTGAATACAGATAACAGTATAAGGTTCTAGTATTAAGCACCATTCTATCTATAAAATATCTTCAGTAAGTAAGCATGTAGGTAGATAAAGATATGTGATTTCTAATTCAGAAGCCAAACTGATTTTCTGAACTCCAGACCTTTAAATATCAAATTATATAATGATGTCCTATATTTGGGAATCCCCTAGGCATCTTAACTTTAGCATGTCAAAAAATTGAATTTATCTGATGCCCAACTCCCAACAATTAAGATAGTCCTACTAATAAAATGGTGGTAAAGGCTCTCTCTGCTGAGAAACTACAGAAATGGGAGTGGAATTGTATATTCAAATAGTGAGAAAGTCTGAAATAACTGCTATAGGAAAAGAGAAAATGAAAAAGAGATAAATGTTTAAAAGCTAACAAACAGAAATAAGGTCAGAGTTAGATAGTCTCAAATTTATAATGGACTCAAATATGCAAAATTCTTCAAATATTCCCAGCAAGCTTTTGAACCCAGGAAGAAAATAAGTTCAGCACTATTTATTCTTCTGTAATTACAGGACAACAAGAATAGGCACATGATTAACATATGTAAGCCAGAGCTTAAGCACATAAATATCATTATTCTCACATTTTAAAAATTACAGGCTTTCATATTAACATATTACATACAATAACTCACTTAGAAGAACCTTTGAAAACATCACGGCATTAATTGGGTATATAAGTATAAATGAATAGAAAAGGATGTGGTTCTACTTGTAAATAATTGAGGTTCTGACTACTGATGGAAAAGCAGGTTTGAATTTGAACTGGATGAACACTGCCTCTAACTGCCCTGGGTCTGGAAACTGTTGCCACTGATTTGCACCCATCAGTCTGTCTGTATTAGGCTTTAGGTAAAACCTGTCATAGAACTCCTTCCTATATTCATTCCTTGGCAGGTCCTATTCAGCCACTGTTTTGACATTGTCTTTAATCCATCTTCCTCAAATAACCAATCAGAATAACCTAATCGTAATAAACATTTCACCATCAATCAAGAAATTATATTACAGAACCCTCATAACAATCCTTCACACATACACACACATCTATAGAGAGCACACAACTAAACAAACACATCATTAATCTGTGCATAAGTACTTTTAGGGTAGGCACATATACTAAATATTAGTACCTTCCTATGTTCTACATGAAATGCTAAATGAAAAGCAATTTTCTTATTTATTCCATTAGGATGATTTTCAATTCTGTTACTACTATCATACATTCTTGGATCCTCTTCTATCCTAAAGAACATTTTATAGTTAAATTGTGTGAAATTACCTCAGCCACTAGAGCAGAGTGGTTAAATTTCATTTCATTTAATCAAGCCTATTATTTATTTCTCATTATATAAGTGCTGTCAAAGACAGGAACCATCCAAAAACATAGAAATGTCCTTTTTTCTCCAAGAATTCCTTCCAGTTATATGGGAGGAAAAAACTTTTAGGTTTTTCTAAGGGAAAGACAGATTAACATGAGAAAAGCACACAAATTTTATCTAATATTTTTACATACACATAGGAGCCTTTGTTGGAAAACGAAGACCAAACAAAGTGGTTAGGACCAAGAGCTTCTAAGCCTTTTTAACAGAGAATTTATGGAAAAATGACAAGAAAAAGGAAAAGGGATCTAATAAGCTTTGAGGGATAAGAAACTGTGGGAAAGTGGCTAGGAAATATATGGCGAAAACTAACTGAAGATCACGGTTATTTTAGGTTTCTTTATACAGATCCGTTTTGGAATCAACTCCCAATCTCCAATGATAAAAAAAAATGTTCTCTTCCTGGTAAATTCCGTTTTGGAATCAACTCCCAATCTCCAATGATAAAAAAATGTTCTCTTCCTGGTAGAACCCAAATGTTCCCAATCTCCAATGATAAAAAATGCTCTTTTCCTCATGAGAAATAATATGACCGCCTTTAGGTATAAAAAGAGGTCAGAGCACCCTTCCTGCATCTACTGTTTCTCAAGTGCCTTCAGCTCACAATAATCAGTATGCCAAAGTGGCACATTTTGGGGTGGTATGTTCTGATCCCTTTCACAGCACCTTACCAAAAGTTTATAAAAACTCCAACTCAGTCTAAAACTTTACACATTTCTCTTTTATCTCTTTCTCTTCAGGTGGGAAAAAATGTTAACGAGTAGTTGTGTTGAGGGTCTCCGGTTTGCTGATAACTAGAAGGATTCACTGGATTCAGCATATAGCCATACTTATGCTAATATTTACTAGACTGAAAAGATACAAGGCAAAATCAGCAAAGGGAAGAGAACATAGGGTGCAGTCCCATGGAACCTGGGCACAAGCTTCCAAGAGTCCTCTCCCTGTAGTGACACAGGATGTACTCAATTCTTCCAGCACTGAATTCTGACAACATGTGTGAGGTACTGTCTACCAGGGAAACTCATTAGAGACTCAGTGCCCAAAATTTTAATTAGAAGTTAGTCACTTAGCTACTGTCTGCCTAATATGTACCAAAATCCAGACTCCCAGAAGGAAAACAGGTGTTCAGCATAAACCACATTCTTTGCACAAAAGGTCTAGGTACCGTGAGCTACATCTTATCATTTAAGGAAAGTTTCTTACTTGATTATCATTAAAGTTCCCAGATGCCAAACAAGGCCTATTTTGGAAGCAGACCTAAGGAAATGGTCCCTGGTCTACTATGTTAACTCCTTTCTTCACAGTAGTAAAATGGCCAAAGAATAGACAGAAAGGAAAAGAATGTCTTAAAGAATGCACTATAACAATGCATTTAGAAGATGGTAGAAAAGAACTCTCTTCCTTTAAGATTGATTGGCTTTGGCTACCAATAGATCCCTTTTTAATTACTGCAGTGGTTGTATTCAAATTATAACTACAGACAGCCTACTCATATGAATAAGGCAGAGATGAATAAGGCATTAAAATGAAAATAGAAAATGAAAAAGATATTCTTTTTTAAAAAAGTAGTACGGATAGGATCCAACATAAATTCTAGCTTTAACTGTTCACACATCTAAGATCATAATTTCACATATGTGGATTACAAAAAAAAAAAATATTTACCAACTTGAAATTACAAAAGTGGAAAAATTGGACTAGGTAGGAGAATAATGGAGTAAATTTACAGAATAAAGAAACCAGTTCCGTCTAGTATACGAGAATCTTCCTACCTGCCTTCTTGCTATTTCTCATATTCATGAAGAATTACTAAGCCTACATTGAAACAGTTTCCATTAAAGGACAAAAAGTAGACTACTATGTAGGTGACAACAATGATTATTTGTTCACTGATATCACTAAAATATAACACAATTTCTCCTCTACTCTTATTTGATAGTCAGTGCATACAAAGGACTGGGCACCTTAGTGGATATTTAAAAATGAAAACTTGACCCCAAATAAGCCAGGTTACTTGGAATATTTTTATTATTTTTTTGTGGGTTTTTTTTTTTTATTTTCCCATGTTTTTTTTTTTATTATGTTATGTTAATTACCATACATTACATCATTAGTTTTTGATGTAGTGTTCCATGATTCATTGTTTGCGTGTAACACCCAGTGCTCCATGCAGTACATGCCCTCTTTAATACCCATCACCAGGCTAACCCATCCCCCTACCCCCCTCCCCTCTAGAACCCTCAGTTTGTTTCTCAGAGTCCATAGTCTCTCATGTGGATTTTTTTAAATTTTTATTTTATTATGTTATGTGAGTCACCATACATCATTAGTTTTTGATGTAGTGATCCACGATTCAGCTTTCTTTATTTTAAATAAACATTTTTCATCTACAGTATTATGTACTTTGTGTGAGACTTGTAAGGGTAATGAGAAAACAGCTACATTTTAATGACTCAAAAACAACATCCCAGGGAAACAGTAGCATATCATGGAAAGAACATGAGTCACAGACTTGAGATCAAATCCCAGCTCTGTCACTCTATAACCTTAGGAGAAGTGCTTACCATCTGTGAGCCAAGGTAACTAAATTTATAAAGAGGACTCAATAACATCTACATATCAGAAGAATGATGACCTACACAAAATCAATTAGATAAACATCTGGAAGACTGACTGGCACATTTTAGGAACTCAACAATGGCAAAGGTTTATTACTAACTAGAAACAACATTAAAATTAGAGAGATAGGCACCTGGTGGCTCAGTCGGTTAAGCAGTTAAGTGTCTGCCTTCAGCTCAGGTCATGATCCAGTATCCTGAGATCAAGCCCTGCATTGGGCTCCCCGCCCAGTGGGAGTCTGCTTCTCTGTCTCCCTCTGCCCCTCCCCACTGCTTGTGCATGCTTTCTCTCTCTCAAATAAGTAAAATCTTTTAAAAAAATTGGAGAGGTAATCCAACGTCTATATTTTAAAGATGAGGAAATTGAGAGACAAGGAGATAAAGCAATCAATCCAAGATAAGGGAAGTAGTTTACAGTAGAGAAAGAACTAGCCACAGGTCCCTAATATTCAAACTAACATTGATTCCACTTCACTGTATTACTGACTTGGATACTAGCCAAAAAACCTGTTAAATAATTAAGTAAGTTACCATGTTCTTTCCTGAGATAGGAGGAAATATTAAATAGGAATTATACAATCTCTGATGCAGGATGTTTCTGCAACATTCTGTCAACCGTCATAAAACTGAGAGAAAAAAAAAAAATCACAGAATAGAGTTGACTTGGTTAAAACAAAATCAGGTATAGACTACTTATCTCCTTCTATGTTCAAGACACCGGCTAGACACTGAGGAAAGTATTAGTATGAGAAACATTGACTGGGACAAATATGATCAAGCAGGAGGGAAGTGACATCAATGTTAGCTAGTAGAAACAGAATTTAAGTTAGTAAATTCAAGAGAAACTGCTCTGATCAGCAAGAATTCATAAAGAAAGGTACATATAATAAGGAGACAATGAGCAAACTCAAGTGTGAAGAAGAGAAAAGATTGGGTCACTGATAAAGGACAGGCATTTAAGACCAACAGTAGCATGGGCAAGAGCCACAGACTGGGCCATCAGGGCTATTCATGAGGAGTAAAAGTTCAAGAGGGCTAAAAAGAGATTAAAAAGTAAGGTCAGAAACCAGGGTGGGAGAATGCTGAAATCCAGTTTAAGCTTGTGAAAGTTTTTCAGCAAGGGAATAACGTGATCAGATATGTGCTTGAGAAAGATTAATCACCAAAGGACATTATGCTAACATTAGGATATTAAAATATCATAGCAACATTAAAAATAATTGAAGATCATCCTTTTAAAGCAGGAATGGACTTTTAGAACCAACTTTTTTCTCATCTGAATTCCATTTTCAGCAATCAAATTCGATCGAGCTGGCTTATAATAGATCTATGGCATTCAAGAGACTAGGGGAAAAAAAAGAAAACACCACTTATCAGTCTCCGTCTTTCTGAAGAAAATATAGGTATGTTTTCATTCAATCCAATAAACATTAACTGCACTCAGCAATAGCCAAGCTGCTGAGACACAAAGACGAACAAGACGGCATGGTTCCACATTCTACTGCTACAGAGAACCATACAGCGTGGTTAGGCAGCAGACACGTAACAGTTATTTTTAATAAATGTGATATATATGAGCAATTTTTTCTTCTGTATTTCAAATTCAGCCTCTCTTCCCAATTTATGCTACCTAATCTATACTTACATTTCATTCTTCAGTGTCTTCATCTGTCCTTATCTTTATATAATGTTTTCTAACAATGATTCTTTGTCAGAAAAGAGCCCTGAGCTAACACCATTAGGTGATAGCTAAGGGAACCAAAAGAAGATAATTTGCAGTTGCTAGTGAAAGTAATAAAGACAAAGAGCAAAAAAAGGGAGGCAGGCGGAAGAAAGAGGCAGAAACATGGCTAGAGAGAAAATGAATGCCCTTGCCAGCCAATCTCAGAAGCCAACACCACTAGGGCAAGAGTGTGCATAGCATTCCTGTTCTGTTTCCCTTTGGTGCCTTCTTCCATGATGAAAGTGCTCATAACGTGGGTGTGGGCAGGGAAAATGTGGTTGAGAGGAGAACGGGGAAGAAGGAAAAGATTAACAAGAGAATCTGATCAACTAGACACCTCTCCCAAAAAGTCTTCTGTAAGAATTCAAAATAACTTGATTCTATAATATTTGAAAAAGAATGATCTCAAATTAGGGGAAAGCCAAATGGAAATACAGTCACTTGTAAAGGCTTTATTTACAAATGAAAAATTAGTGGAGAGAAAAAGCCACTTGGTCAATTTTCCCAAAGAGTTTGATAAAAGCCTCTTCTAAATTCTAGGACAAAAAATTACTATAAATTTTTCTTTTAATTTTTATAATTGCTAGCCTTTGAGTTTTAGATACATCAAATATATGGTACAACAGTTATAGATACACAGACGTACACATCACATACTTTTTAGTACACTAAACATGTATACTGTAAACTTACGTGTTTGTATTATACTCACTTTATCAAAAATTTAAAAAAACAAATTTAAATTATTATAAAGATTAAGAGTTTTTATATCTTGGCATTGATGACAAGGTCATCTTAAGCATAAATGTTCTGGTTCCCAAGTCTCCTTGGTTGGAAGCACCATTCTTAATTATAAAATTTCTCATATAAACACAAACCACAAGAGAATGATATGTTTTACAATACAGTGTCTAGAAACCCAGCACAGTGAAAAGTAGCAACTGCCTTATCAAAATGATACATTGAAACAAAAATGATATTTAAAGTATAGGCAAATATAAAGCTCAATTCTTTATCAGGACAAAAATGGCGAAAAAGTTAGTAAGTAACAAACAAGCCTCAAGTAGAACACCATTCGAAACAGAATTCAATTAATTATCTTAATACTGACTCTGTGAACAAAGACTAATTCCAGCCCAAAATATGACTTCCTTAAAGCAGACACAAGATGAAAACACTGACTGAATATGGACATTATATCCAAAATGAGATGTAAATATCTCAGTGAGAAAGAGGACTGATTCAAGCACAGGAAAAAATAAATAAATATTTTTTGTATTTATTGAAATTAAACTCTTTTCCAGCATGTTGGAACATTTTAGGTTCCACATGACCAGTTAATTGCATGTATAGATGATTTAGTTTTAACTAACCTAAAATGGACAGGAAGATTTAAAAACAAAAACCTGCAAAGAAACTACACATTGAGGGGTGCCTGGGTGCTGCAGTCGGTTAAGTGTCTGACTTAGTTTCAGCTCAGGTAGCAATCTCAGGATCATGAGATTGAGCCCCATGTTGGGCTCTATGGTCAGCACAGAGTCTGCGTAAGACTCTCTCTCCCTCTGCCCCTCCCCCCCCCACGCTCACGGGCTCTCTCTCTCTCTCAAATAAATAAATCTTTAAAAAAAACCCAAACTACACATTGAATATAACATTACTAATGTATGGATACGTATTTGTAAATGTGACATTAGGATTAACATGAATTCAACCAGCATTCTCAGAATGCCAACTATGGACACAAGGCTAGCCTCAAGGGCTATGAAAAATACAAGGCAAGTCATGTTGCTCAGCTAAAAGAAAACCTGGTTAAGGGCACTGTGGTTTATGACCTGACAGACAGCAGTCAGCCCCATCTCCACCTCCTTCCAATATATTCTTCTATTCCACAGAGGCTACAAAACTCAATGTTCAGACTCCCTTAAGCTAGGTTGGGGGCGGGGGCAAATTAAATTCAATATAGAGAGAATTAGAATGTGGAAATGAGGTAGAGACAATATACTTGCTAATTTGGCTTTTTGCTACTGGCCAGCAAGGTCTTAAAGATATAATTTATTTTGTTCCATAGTGAATATCCCCCTTTGTGCTATCCCTTCTTAGAAGCCTAAGCAAGGCCACATCAGCCAGTATTATTATAAACAACTATTGCATAAAATACCTAGAGCAGTTCCATTTCCCACACTAACCCCTAACTGATGTTATAAAGTTTTGCTTTTACTGTATAAACAAAAGAACAGATTTAATAGGATTTCACCTGAAATTCTCAGCTTCTCAATTAAGCCATGCCCCACTCACCTCTACTGGGAAATTAGCCTGACATACTCTTGCATGTCTTGATAAACTCATTCATTTCTGTATAATTTAGGTGTTTTATGAACTGATAGTGAGAGGACAACTAATCAATTTTCCACAGTCAGGAGGACTAATGGAAGTCTCTGAATAAAAGAACTTAAACCAAGCAAAACAAGTATGGTAGCCCAGAAATATAGCTACAGGAAGCTAAATCAGGCCATCACTCATTGGGATCTCACTATTTAAAACTTGTTAAAGTCATGATTGGTAGAAAGTAGAATATATACTTAAAATCTGTGAGTCAATTTTTCTTAACTCAAGCAAAATACATATTAATAATCTTTAATAACTGATTCAAACCCTTTTATTAGTTAGGGATCAGCTACATAAAATATCAGGGGCCACTATAATAACAATGTCACAAATAATTCTTCCTTTACAAATAAAACCTTCTGTCTTTTCTATCCTAATTTGTCTACATATACTATTACCATTTTCTTTTTGCCAAATGAAGCAGAGACACAGAAAAGGACATTAATCCCAAATAACAGGTTCCTCGGTCTTTCTCAGTGATTAAAAATAATTATTTCTCCACAAATCCTATGAGAACATATCTGCTTCATACAACTACAGTTTCCTTGTACTTTTTAATGAAACATGATACTAAGCTTAAGCAAAGTACAGAAAATAATGTTCAATTAATTAAATACATTCATCTCTTTGTGAAGAAATAAAATATTAACTTCTGTTTCATTAGCCATGATGTTCACTACATGGAACATTTTAAATACACATTTCTTCAGAGTATTCAACTTATTACACAAGGGCACATATAATTAAAATCTAGGCCCCAGCAACACACTGGGGGAATTCTGACCCTGGCACACATATCTCAAGTATATTTGTGTTTTCTTCATTTTTCTCACACTCTATTAGACTGATAATTGTAACTCTGCAACTCTGATGTTTAACTAAAGTAGGCACTTTGGGAGAAGAAAATTTGAATACAGATAAGATAAAACCAAAGCAGATTGGTATTTGGGACTGCTTTTGATTGAGGTGGAACTGCCTCTGATTAACACATTTGTTATGAAATGCAATAGGACAAAGCAGGTATCAATACAAGACAGACACCTGTGTCTCACCAGTATCGATGTGGCAGCTCAGAGGACCAAGATAAAGTTCATAGTTCAACTAAAGAAATACGTCATCCCTAATTACATTATATATAGCAAAGAGGAGAACTTAAATGTAACCTAACACTTAATTTTATTGCTCTACATCATTATAGAGCACAGAGATCAGACACATTATCTTACATGATACAATACTGCTGTGCACTTGAGAGAAATCAACTTTTCTTGATTTCTCAATTTTTATTTCTTGAGACAAATCAAAGCTAAGGAGGCTAAATGAGATAAAAAGAGCCCTATTTTTTTAAGTAAATACTGTTTCAAACAAAAATAACGATCACTTGAGATACCACCTCACACCCATTAGGATGGCTACTATTAAAAAAACCAAAAACAAACAACAACAACAGGGAAAAAAAAAAAAAAGGCAGAACAAGTGATGAGGATGTGGAGAACCTGGAACCCTTTGTGCACTGCTGGTAGGAATAGAAAATGGTATAGCCACTGTGGAAAAAAGTATGGTGGTTCTTCAAAAGATTAAACACAGAATTACCTCGTGATCTAGTAATTTTACTTTTGGATATGTACCCCAAAAATTGGAAGCACGGTCTCAAAGAGATATTTGTACACTCATGTTCATAACAGCATTAATTACAATAGCTAACATGTGGAAGGAACCCAGGTATCCATCAACTGATGTATGGATAAGCAAAATGTGGTATATAGATAGAATGGAATATTATTCAGCCTTGAAAAGGAAGGAAATTCTGCAATATGCTACAACACAGATGAACTTTGAGGACATTATGTTAAGTGAAGTAAGCCAAGCACAAAAAGACAAATACTGTATGATTCCACTTATATGAGGTACTCAGAGCAGTCAATCTCATAAAGACAAAGTATAATAGTTATAATGCTGGTTGCCAGAAAGTTGGTGGGAGGGAGGTTGGTTAGGATGGGGAGTGGGAGTTATTATTTAATAGAGAGTTTCAGTGGGGATGAGGATGGATGGTTGTACAACAATGTGAATTTATTTAATACCACTAAACTGTATATTTAAAAATGGTTAAGATGGTAATTTTATGATTTGTACATTTTACCACACAAAAAAGAAAAATAATAAACCCTTTCTTGACTCCAGTTGATTTTCTAGGAAGGGCTGGCTATGAGGGATGTTTCTTTAATCAGCTCTCAATAAAATCCAAGACTACCACGCTCCCACCATACAGCCATGTCATATTCAGGCAAAGTAAAATCAGTGTGCTATCTATATCAAAAGAAATTCAAGACGTGGCTCCTAATCCAATTTCATACCATCCAATCACATTCCCACCTGTTAAGTTCCACCTATG